CTTCGCGGAGTCTTTGAGGGTGTGGGGTGAGCTGACCCAGCACGTGGGGAAGCGTAGTTGAAAAGGTTTTTGTGGGGCGTCGATGGTGTTATGCTGGCAGGTGGTAGGTTCGAGACCACATGTGAAGGTGGCGTATGTGAGCGGGTCTTGTCATTAATGCCATTACCCATACCCAACAAGGGGTCCGGCGATAGGGAATCCAAATCGGCCTGTGGAACAGTATTCCCAAAGAGTTCACTTCGCAAAACCCGCGAGTACATGCGATTTGCTTCTTCAGCTACACCGGGGTTAGCGACGATGATCGGCAATGCCAGGATCACATCGGATGCGACTCACTTTTTTGAAAGTGAAGCTCCGAATGGGGAGCACGTTTTTTCGACTTTGATGGTGTCGAAGGGCAGCCGTCCTCATGAAGCAGGCTGAACGTTGCCTGAAGGTCTTGCCCCTCACGATTGGGAATAAATCTGTAATAGGATTCACAGTTTAGTGACATGATGTCAAAGGATATAGATCCATGGTCACGTCCGATGAATCGCTCTCAGAAAGCACCATTGAATGTGTTACTGACCTATCACCGTACACTCTCTGCCTCTTCCTGCTGGGACTGGTACCCGGTGTTCTCTCGCGGGGACGTCCAGCATCCTCAAAATCCTTCAGAGCCTTCGCTAGGGCATCTGCATCGATTGGCCCAGAGGTAGCCCGAGAATTCTGGCTCCTGGCTTGCGGTTCCGGGTAGAATAGAGTCTTCTTCGACGGCATACTAGGGGGCGTCCTGGAGCCAGGAGGCGATGCGATCGTCAACGCATTTGGTCCGGTACGATCGGGCGACTTGACGGCCGGTGCGCCTGCAGCAGCATTGCGGGTGGTCGGCCGATCTGATTTCTTGGGGTCGCCCATGGTTGTCGGAGGGGCGAACCTCACGAGGTGCAAATGGCGGTCGAATGCGGGATCAACTGGAGGCAGGGTCAATGCGACAGGTCTCAAACGTCGTCGGGTCGCAAGTGGCGGCAAAGTGGGAGGGGAAGAGCAGCTGGGGTAAATCGTATTAAATGACTGGGCGAATATAGAGTTGTCCTTCAGGTCAATCGGCGGCTCGGGGTTGTAGAAGGTGGTGAATGCAGAGGTTGCTGATGACAACAGCCAGACCCTTGTGTTCCGCTCCGATCAATACACCAAATAAACTAGGAGCAAGCGGGCACAGGAGCGAACAGAGAGTGACGACAGAGTGTCTCTCACCAGACCCGAGGCAGACTAGGAAGAAACGCACAGCTTGTGGAGGTCATTTGATACTGACCTGACCACCGTCTGGTGAGGGAGGAAGGATTGAGACAGTTTGATCCAAGGGTTGGCGATGGGCTTCCTCTCTTGCTTCGGCCGTTCGAAGGGGAGCCCCAGCAGCGGTCACGCGTCGGATGCGCTAAACCACTTTGGGCAACGCAGGAGGTTGGTGTTATTCTATACTTGCCTTCCTGGCGAAGAGACAATGATGAGTTTATCCTTCATTTACAAAGAAGATTATAATCTTGCTCACCATTGTCTTGACCTATTTTTGTTCTCTTTTGCTTCCCACGTCGCATAGTGGTGGGTGGGTGATCTTCTCATCCGACTGATGACTGATCTTCGTCAGGTGTTGTTGTCGCATGGGAGGATTTGTTTATCTGCACCCGCTGGATCGCCTGTACCTCCCAATGCACGTCCGTGTCTGATCGATTGTGACCCTCCCACCACAAACAGACAGGTCCTTTTTCCCTTTTTCGTGAAATTGACCATTTACTTAGGCTAGATTATCAGACGTGAAACAATTCCTAACCAATCCGATCAAATTGCCCGTGCTACAGGAGGCGTTCCATGGACTGACGCGAAGCGCCGGCGTGGTGATTGGGCCAGCGCGCTCTACTCCGTTGTTATCGATTGTCGCAGCGCCACGAGCACTACCGCGACCGCCTCTCATTCCACGCGCCTGGTGAACGCGACAGCAGAAAGCTTGGGCCAGACACTGCTAGAAAGGAGAGTTTCCAGCCAAAGAAATTGAATCTGAGATCCCTCCCGGTCCCCGTCTTGCGTCGATCACAGTACAGCATTAGTTTAGCATAACGGGGCTTGACTCGTGGCGTGGATTTCCAGGGTATACTGGCGATCAACCGTCTGTACCGAATTCTCATCAAGCTTGGAGGCTCAACGGTCGACTATTTTCAGTTGCTTTTTCTATTTGATCTGCTCTATTTCCGATGGTGCCGCGATTCACATGACTAACAATAACATCCAATCTCAGACTTCTATTTCTATCCAAGTGCTATGTCTTGAGTTTCAAGCTACGACCGTGTCTTGCAAGGACCCCATGACGAGCACCGATATAAACAGGGCGCGACCGTGTTTGTTTCAGTTTTCTGCCAAGGAAGACAGAAAGATAATCTTAGTGTATGATGAGAATCTGAATTAGATTGAAACTTTTAAGAACGCTAGGGGATACTCACAGACCGATGACTAGTAGACATACAATCCACATGAGGTCATTTATTGGCTCTTAGTGGTTTAGACTTGAATCCATGATACCACCATTCAATAACCGCCTACACATTATTGAGATATCCACGCCAACCCAGCTAATCTTCTGTTTATCTGTCCAGTTTTACTTTAGTGGAATTGAAAATCAATTTGAGCGACATCAGTAAATTCCATAGTCCACCCGTCCGCCTGTTAAGTACTAGTCAAATAGATCAAGCCATGCGGAGACGCCAACTGACCGCCTTACTATGATCTCATGCCCACTTTTTCCCCTCCCCGTGATCCCCATGTTTCTTTATCCACATCTCCTGGGGACCTTCGTGACAAGATGACTTCTAAAATTGCTCAAAGTTTGAAGCAGCCGGCTCTGGACTTTTTGTCCTTTGTCAATGCGTCTCCTACCCGTAATTACATTACGTTCTATGCTATTATAAGGTAGTCGATTGCTGACTTTGCTGTAGCGTTCCATGCCGTTCAGTCGGCAAAGGAACTCCTTGCCAAGGCTGGCTTCCAGGAGATCAAGGTATGCGATGGCTGCATTGTATCACGGAATTAACCGCTAATTCCCGGTACAGGAGAAGGACTCTTGGGCGTCAACCTGCCGGCCTGGTGGAAAGTACTACTTGACCCGTAACCAGTCCACCATCATCGCTTTTGCTGTCGGCAAGAAATGGAAGGTATGGTTTCTGCCAATTGTCTCAATGATCTGACCTCTGTGCTAATCATGTCAATTGATTAGCCTGGTAACCCCATTTCGATGATCGGTGCTCACACCGATTCTCCCGTCCTCAGAGTCAAGCCGGTCAGCAACAAGCGCGGCGAAGGATATGTTCAGGTGGGCGTAGAGACTTATGGAGGCGGCATCTGGCACACCTGTCCGTGCTACTGAATCACTTTGACTATATCATGCTAACTGTCTCTAGGGTTCGACCGTGATCTGGGTGTTGCAGGTCGGGCTATGGTCCGCAATGGCGACGGTTCGATTGTGCAGAAGCTGATCAAGATTGACCGACCCAGTAAGTACATTTGGCCTTTGTACAACCAGCATTCTCTGACTAGGCATAGTTCTCCGCATTCCCACTCTGGCCATTCATCTGGACCGCCAGGAGACTTTTGCCTTCAACAAGGAAACTCAGCTGTTCCCCATCGCTGGTCTTGTTGCTGCTGAGCTGAACCGTACCGGTGCCTCCGAGGAGACTGACAAAGCGGCCAAGGAAGCCAACGAGGACAAGGGCGACTTGTCGCCTCTGAAGGCCATCACTGAGCGCCACCACCCTTACCTGGTTGAGCTCATTGCTGCCGAAGCCGGTGTTAAGCCCCTCGATGTCCTTGACTTCGAGATGATTCTATTCGATACCCAGAAGTCGAACCTGGGTGGACTGCTGGAGGAGTTCATCTTTTCGCCTCGCCTGGACAACCTGAACAGCTCTTTCTGTGCCACCGTCGGCTTGATCGACTCTGTGGCTGACTCCTCAGCGTTGGACGAGGAACCCGCTATCCGTCTCATTGCCCTCTTTGACCACGAGGAAATCGGAAGCCGCACTGCTCAGGGTGCCGACTCGAACATCCTCCCCTCCGTTATCCGTCGCTTGTCCGTGCTCCCGTCGACGGCCGGCGCTAGTGACGACATCGCCACTGCTTACGAGCAGACCTTGTCTACGTCTTTCCTTCTGTCTGCTGATATGGCCCATGGAGTTCACCCGAATTACACAGCCAAGTACGAGAACGACCACCGGCCCCAAATCAACAAGGGCCCTGTTATCAAGATCAACGCTAACGCGCGCTATGCGACCAACTCACCCGGTATTGTTCTTCTTCAGGAAGTCGCTCGCAAGGCTGGGGAAGATGTTGGCGAAAAGGTTCCCCTGCAGCTGTTTGTTGTCCGCAATGACTCCAGCTGCGGAAGCACCATTGGCCCAATGCTGTCCGCGGCGCTTGGCGCTCGGACATTGGATCTGGGTAACCCCCAGTTGAGCATGCACAGTATCCGTGAGACGGGAGGTACCTTCGATGTGGCACACTCGATCCGCCTGTTCACTGGATTCTTCAAACACTACGCCAATCTTTCCAAGACCATCTTTGTTGATTAGATAGATAAGTCTACGGGTGGGTGAAGGTTATATAAGAAGCATAAGGATATCTTTGTTGCATCATTCTGGAATAATCTTTAAGAATAAGCAAACAACCTTTCCTCCATACAGAGATCGCCATAGTAAGATTATCATTGGTGATAAGTTATAGTTTAAACCCCGGATGTTGCCAGATGCAGCGCTCCGGGCCGAGAAAAGTCCGCAGCCACCTGATCCACATCATCGGCCATCATCGTTGCCGGTGACGCTCCACCTCCAACTCCCTCCGTCTCTCCACCTGAAACACCACCCTAACTACTCCATCTTCCCCCCATCACCTCGTCCCCCCGGTCTGCACTGGCCCCCCTAGACCTTTCCCTCTCACTCCTCACCCCCCCAACGCCATCCATGCCCCCATGACCCTCTATGACCACTCCGGACGCCTATCGAGATGCGGAATACATCGCTGACGTGTCCGGCATCATCGACCCTCATGGCGGCGCCAGCGCCAACTCTACCAGCCGTACCGAGCGCCTGAGAAAGGTCCAGACAGCCGCGAAAGTTGCGTTCATCGACCGACTGCTCCGCGACCTAGACATCCTTATTTACTGTGAGCTTTCAGCGTTGTATTATATGGAGTGAGCAGAATCCACACCCCCGCCCCCGCAACTCCGCACGAGCGGAGGAGCCCCCATACATAAAGTATAAATCATCAGACTAACAATATACAATTCACAGCTGCTCGATAATTCTGTTCGCCCTCCGCGCAATAATTCAACTTATCTTCTTCACACCCAAAGCACCCCCTTTCGACCCTACGAGAAACCAACCCTTCGTCGGCGCTATACTGGGTAGTAACCTCTTCTGCATCATCTTTCATAAATTCTTCACTAGACCCGAAGCTAGCGAATCGACGCGCGGTTACCTGCATGGCGGGATCTTGATTGACTTTATTGGACAGAAAGCGCCCATTCCGTTCGCTAGACTTCTTTTCCTGGATTGTCTCATTTTGTTTCTGGATTTGGTCATGTTGGGGTTGATCGTTGAGCGGGTAAAGACGGTGGAGGTTACTGCGAGTGCGCCGGTTGAGACCACGCCTGAGGGGGAGGAAGAGCGACAGGACCACGATCTGGAGGAAAGAGGGGTGCGAGGGGGTGGGCCTTCCACGAGATCCTCGTCGCGAACATTGGAGGATGATGAAGATGTGGAGACAATTGAACTGGGCGAGATGGAGAGAACGCAGTTGCTGGCTGATCCGGAGGAGGGAGGGAGGAATGCACAGCACGCCCATCCTATGGATACGTTCGTGTCGGGCCAAGCAACGATCATGGATGTGGGATTGGTTGACCTTGTCCGTGATCAGTGGCGATACAGCCCTGCGACAGCGCGGCGGACAACGCCGTATGTGCCTTCTGACCAGACCGCGGCTTTTTTGAGAGAACGGTTCGGCATCCGAGTTGGCGCGGATGGGCGCATGGAGCGGATTGGGACAGATGCGTGATATAGTGTAATGTAATGAGTTAGATGAGTTGACATTTGTACATATACCAATGCTTATACGATGGATACATAAACCACCATCTACTGATCGATTTACCCTAAAGGACCTTAAATATCCTATAATGTAACCATACCATAACTTCATCACAAGTACCGATACAAACAAAAACACATAACCACAAAACAAAAAAAGGGTATACATCCTCACGGAATCGCCTCACCCCCCTCCGCACCCGGCGGTCCCCTCCTATCCAAAATCTCATCCACAATACCCATATCAAGCGCCTCCTTCGCACCCATGAAATAGTCCCTCTCCATCAACTTCTCAATCTCATCCAACGTCATCTCCTTCTTTCCCGTCAAATGCCTCTTATAAATCTTATTCAACTGGCTCCGCACCCTGAGTATCTCCTTCGCATGGATGGCAATATCACTCGCTTGACCAAAGTAACCCCCGGACGGCTGATGCATCATGATCGAGCTATGCGGCAAGCAGAACCGCTTGCCCGGGTGTCCTCCGCAGAGCAGCAACGAGCCCATCGAGGCGGCTTGGCCCACGCAGATCGTGCTCACGGGGGAGGCGATGTAGGTCATTGTGTCGTAGATGGCGAGACCGGCGGTTACGGACCCTCCGGGGGAGTTGATGTAGAGGTGAATGGGCTTCTGGGGGTTGTCGGCTTCGAGGAAGAGGAGTTGGGCGACGATGCTGGCGGACATGGTTTCGTCGACTTCGCCGTTTAGGCAGATGATTCGCTCCTGTACTTTGTTAGGATTGGGATGGGGGATGGGGTGGAGGGGTGGGTGGGATGTACCTTGAGGAGACGAGAGAAGATGTCGTCTGTGATGGGCGTGTACTTGGTTAGTTAGGGTCAAGTACTGTGGTCGCTGCAGTAAACGTACATGTGTGCCATCCTCCTCCCTATATCCAGTTAGTATACTCATACATCTATCATCAGCAAGAATGTGTCCACTCACCACAGTCTCAGTAACAAACGGCGTCGGCGTCCACCCCCGCGGAGACCGGGCACCTGATAGCGTCGGAACAGAGCTGGCAAAGCTGCGCGACAACAGCGCCGGCTTGACAGTCTGGAGGCTAACGACGCGAGCTAATCGCTGAATAGGACGTGTTGTGTTCATTATGAGCAGCAATATACTCCAATGGTGAACAGAGTTTGATAGAGCACGATCGGGAGAAGACTCGATGAAGAAGATGATGCCGGTTGGAGATCTGGTCCGCCGGCGGAGCTCCAAGATCCCGCCGAAGCTTAGCGCGTCCGACAATGTCTCTCTCCGCCGCCGCCGCCTTTTTTCCCCGATTCCTGAAAACTATATTCCTTCTCCTCACCACCCACCACGCCATGGCGTGTCTCAACAGCCGGATCTCATACGCTTCCTGGCGTCTGAGGGTATTCCGGCAGCTCTTCCGGCCGAATGGCTTCCCCGAGGTCGGTTATCGTGCTATATCAACCTCCAATGGCACACGGGAACCTCGACCGACGGCCTCCTCCGCGGACAAGACATTGAAGTCTACCCCAACAGAAAATAAAGAAGCTGTTGCTGCTTCCGAAGAATCAGAAAAGGGATCAAAGCAACATCTACGCCCCTCCGAACTCCTCCCCCAATCCCCCCTCCTCACCAACCCCCGCCCCGGTCACGACAAACTACACAAGAAGAAACGCCGCCCCGACCCCAAAGAATCCGACATCCACCTGAACCCCTGGGCGCAAGCCCTCGCATCCCCCCTCCGAGCCTGCAAAGTAACCGGCGCGCGAGTCCCGCGCGCCTTCATGAGCGAATGGGGGTTTGTACAACGTCCCGACGTCGAAGACAAGCTCTGGCTGCTTCCGGTGGGACTTATGAAGGACAAACTAAATCCCTCTTCCACAACTCCTTCCCAAGAAGAAGGACATACGAAAGACGACAACGACAATCACAACAACAAGAATAACGTCAAGAAGAACACGACCCGCCACCTAACCCTCCGCATCGTCGACCGCCTCCCCCTCCTCCGCACCCTAACCTCCACCTACTGGAGCACGAAAACGAACCGCAAGCGTGAACCACTCGCCAAACTCCTCCCGCACCGGTGGAAACACCCCCTGGGACCCGTAACAAGCTGGGAAGAATCGCAGCTCTCGCTACGAGAAGACACGCCGACCTTCACGCTTAAAATGATGCGCCGGGACGTGGTCCAGAAACTCAAAGCGGCGTGCGACCCACCCGACACGCAGCCTGAAGCGAAGCGCCGAGTGTGGACGGTTCTGCCGGTTAGCAAGTACGGACGAGCTCACATAGCGCGGAGAACGTGGTCTATGGAGCCGTTTGAGCGGATGGAGTGTTGCGGGGTGTTGGTGAATAATCGCCGGAGGGGGAAGCCTGGGAGAGTCACGGGGCTGTGGCCACGGATGCCGGAGATCGTGTGTATATCCAAGCAGAAGAAGGTGGCACCGGTGTTTGATTTGACGGTGATGTTGGGGGAGGAGGAGTTGGCGGAGTTGAGGGAGTATTGTCCGGGGCTTTTTGGGAAGACGGCGGTGGTGTTGAGGCCGGATAATAAGGTGACGGTGGACGCCATGTTGGCGCTGTGGAGGTTGAGGGGGTTTGTTAGGAGTGATGGGGTGTTGGAACCGCCCAGGATGGAGGTTAGGTTGAGGAGTAAGTGGAGGAGTAATTATCTTCTATAACATAACTTTACTCTGTATGTATGTATGTACGTCTATCACAGCTAACTATACCCTCTCTTACAACCCCACAATCTATCCCCCGGATTGATCTACCGATCCTGATCAACAACCAACAAATCCGCCAACCGATCCAAATAAACCTTCGGCCTCACATCCCCCTCGACAAACTCCTCCTTACTACTAACCCCCGTCAGCACCCCCAACGTGCCCCCAAGCCTCCCCTCAATCCCAAACCTAATATCAGTATTCGCCCGATCCCCCACCATACAAGCCCTACTGCGATCAAACCGAAACTTCCCCTCAATAGCATCCATCATAGCCTGATTCGGCTTGCCCAATGACGTCGGCTCCTTCCCCAACATCATAATCAACGGCGCGCTCATACTACCCGCCCCCGGAAACAAGGTCCCGGAGTTCGGCAACGTCGAGTCGATATTCGTAGCCAGGAACACCGCGCCCCGGCGGACATAGTGGTACGCGAGAGCGAGCTTGAAGTAGTTGATGTGGAAGTCCAGACCGACAAGCACGACGCCGACCTCCGGGTCAAGTAGCGTGGAGGCGTCCCCGGATGCTATGTCCTTGTAGTCTTGCGGAGTGATTTCGCGCCGGTAGGCTGGGTCGGTGCCTCCGATGAAGGGGACGTTCTCGGACGCGAGTTCTTGTTCGATGCCGGTTTCGCCGATTACGAAGACTTTGCGTTTGTTGGGGGGGAGGGAGAGGATGCGGGAGATGTAGATTGAGGCGCTGTAGGAGGAGGAGAAGATTTCTTCCTGTTTGTTTGTTGGGTATAGGGTTAGATGTGTAATGAGATGGTGGTGGTAGGTACGTACGGTGTTGCTGGGGATTCCTAGCGCTGTGAGCTTCTTGTTGTAGTCGGCGCGCGATTTGGTGCTGTTGTTGGTTACGAAGACGACTTGTTTGCCTGGATGCTTGTTAGCTCTTTCTCTTCGATGGTATCAAGGTATGACGGAGGTGTACCCTTTCTCCGCAGCATCTCCAGAGTCTCATTCGTGCCGGGGAAGAGGTGGTCGCCCGACCAGAGGACGCCTGCATGCGCATCATGTCAGTATGTATGTACGTCTGGGTCAGTCGGGAGAGCGCGGAGGCGCATGGGTATGCGACGGACCATCACAGTCGAAGAGGAAGACCTGATGGCATTGTCAGTATATCTATACTTCGTATACTTCCAAATATACTATCTAGTCATCAGAAAGGCATGGTGTGACTTACATCGAACTTGTCGAGGAATTCCTGGATGCCCGCAGCGTCGCCGGTCAAATAGCGGGGTGTATGCGTCGACACGGGGTATTCCGAGGAGGGAGCGGAAGTTGCCATGTTGGCTGTCTAGGTATTCAGTCTATGTCGGAAGCAATAGTAAAAGGGACTGTTTCCGGTTCTAATAAGCAGATGCAAGGAATGACAGAATTGCTTGCCAGAAAGACGAATGACTCGAGCGGCGTACAGCAATCCGGGTCTCGGTGAGAACAGCGAGCGGGCCGCACGTGAGGGGCCGAGGGCGGATATCCCAGCCCTACAAATGAACTACATCGTAAATTCAAGTTGATATAGAAGTGATAGGGATGCTTTTAGCTCGTTCATTATTATATCATACAGTCGTAATCTCCAACTCCACTCCGACCAAATAACACATCCAATGGAGCAGCACGTCTGCTGTTTCCCGCGGACTGGTAGCGGCTGCAACTGTTAGTAGTTCAGCTCACTGCAACTGTGGACGACGTCGCATATCTTCACGGTCTTTGCATCCTTTGATATCATCCGGATGCATGGCTTTACGCTGGCTCTTCCGCATCCTACCGGAAGAGTCTCAGCGGGAAAGCACTCGTTCAAGAGATAGAGTAGCCTAGGGACCTCGGATGCCCCAACTTGATCTAAGCCCCTCCCAGGATGCCAGAGATCTTGAGGGCTATATCCAAGATAGATAGGTGCTCATCTGCACCATCAACCAGACGTCGATCCATATCCGAGAACGCCATAACGATCTTGTTCTTCTGGATATCAGGAATGGCATCGTTGAATACCACCCGTCGATACAACTACTCAAAGTTAGCATCAATAAACTCCCACTGCGTCCAACCACATACCTGCAAAAGAAGCTGCGTTGCACTCCACCCATCAGCAATGATGTCCGTAACCACCTTCGCAACAGCCTCATACGAAGATCCGATCTTCTTGGGCTGCATTGCCTGCACCAACGCATCCAATACGCCCTCCGGAACAACACCAGCAATCTCCTCAATCGTCCGAATAGTAATAACCTCCGACTCCTGATCCGTCATCTCCTCATCCTCATCCTCGTCCTTCTTCCCAGCCCGACCAGCCCCAACCAGCTTAGCCGCACTCTGCATATACGTAATCGCCCGGCGCATATCACCCTCACTGCAAGCAATCAACTTATCAATAACCCCATCCTCCAACCTCAGATTTTCCACCTTGGCAATATGCTCCAATCTCTCTCCAGCCGCCGAATTATCCAAAGCCTTGAACCGGAACTTGCTGCATCGACTAGCAAGTGGCTCGATAATTCTTGTGACGTAGTTGCAAACCAAACAGAAACGGGTAATTCGACTATACTGCTCCATCGTACGACGCAACGCAGACTGCGCATCCTGCGTCATGCTGTCCGCCTCATCGAGAATAATAATCTTAAACGGCGGGCACGGGTATTGCGCCAAGTATTCCTCGCCCAACCCCGTAGAGTGTGTGAGTTGCGCACGGGCAAAGTTC